AGCAAACTGATTGACTGAAGCAAATAGGACTCTTGAGGCATTTTGTTTAAGCTGTTGAATTTTAGGTAAGAGACAGTGAACAGCAAAAATAACTGCATTGCTAAAGCTTGGTTCACTTGAAAAAGAGACAAACTGTTGACACCGAGAAATTGCTAAAGATTCTTCCAGGTTTTTAAGATTTTAAACTGAGCACAAATGTTTTAACTCCTCAATGCTACCTGCTGAAAATACCTCAAGTTCATCATGAAAATTGAATTCATTAGTCTCTGAGTTCTGAAGTAAGTTTTTTAGAGCAGTGACTTTTAGTTGCAGAGCATCACCTAGCTTTGCTTCAGCTGAAACATAATTTATTCGTCTCTGTGATCAAAAGCTCTGGAACATTGTCAGTGTTCTTCATGGTTAAATGTTCTGAATAAATTCCAGTCTTGGGGACCAAAAATTCGGGAATATCCTCAGAGCTTATGTCCAAGTTATCTACATAATTCTGTTCTAAGACCTCTTCATTTTCAAAGATAAGATGGTCTGGCGGAGGGGGTACTGTCAAATCTTTCATGACAATTGTTTCAGGTTCAAGTTTAACTTGTTGATTTTTGCCAACTTGAATAACTTCAATATCACTATCTCCAGACAGATCAGAAGATCCTAAGTGAATTTGTTGCAATGTCTTAAAAGATGGTACATCTACTTTTCAATCACAAATATCTGTCAAATCAATCATTACATGTCAACATCATGTCAACATCATCTCCAGCACAACTTTTGATTGTTAGGGGAGATACTTGTTCCCTGGAATTACTCTTAACAATACTGTCACAAGTGTCTTTCACTTCATTTTTGCTAAGATTACTTAACCAAGGAATGTTTCTTGAAGATTCCCCGAGTTTGTTCTTGTTTATGTCAGATCTTCAAATCTTGCCTCAGAGTCTGTAGTAATGAGATTAGTTTACAGACAATTGTTCCCTTTTTACTATGATTCTTCACTATCTCTCCAGTCTCTACTGTCAGTTTCTCTGAAATTCTTTAACTTTGATTCTAAAATCTTCAAATGAGTCAGCCTCCAGCCAACGATCTCCGCCTCAAATTTGCGCAAGCTGTGAATTAACTTGTCCAATGAGTTCGCCGGTACAGAACAGCTATGGTATGAAATGAATGCTTGCATGTTACATTGGACGTTCAAAGGAAGAAGAAGTAGTTTTGGTTTAAAGAATAGTTGAGCATTTAACACCACAGGGAAATCCTCCATCCAGATAATCTTCCTGACCTAGCTTGGAGGAATGTCTGACATGTTTTCAGTGGCATTTCTTTTCTGAGCCAAAAAGACGCAGCTTAAACAGGAAGGTATTCGGAAGAGCTGCAAAGACTCCACGTCACTCTTTTGGAAATGCTCGAACAAGTGCATCTAGAAGGCAAAGAGGGGGAAAATCAACGGGATTCTCCTTGTGTGTTGACCTGCAAGCTTCGTCCGCCATCTTGGTTTTCTGTATCGAAGGAAGACTGAAACTAGCGTAGAATCGAGGCCCAATTCAACTTCCTGTTCAGCCAAGCTACTTCGCGGAATCGGAGCTCTTTCTGCCCTATTTTATAGCCTGAAAAAAAATGTCTTCGCGAAGGTAATTTACCCAGTTTTCGTTAAACTGAGGAGTTGCTAAGTCATTCCTTTAACAAATATGCTTTTTTGTTTTGGGTTTTAGGTGGTTTCACTCACACATTTCTGGTTATAATGCAGAAACGTTGTTGTTAGAGAGAGGTTTCGATGGAAGCTATCTTGTTCGTCCAAGCGAGAGTAACCCTGGAGACTTTACTCTGTCAGTCAGGTAATTGCAACAGGATTATAAGGAAGACAACCATGGTCTAGGTAGAAAAGTTTAAAATCTATCTCCTCTTACAGATCGACAGATCTACCCGAGAAAACATTTAAAATGGTGCGAAAGTACATGTACGTGTATACAAATCCCCTTGAAAATTTAAAAAGTGGGACCAGAAGATTACTTTAAGAACGACCTATCCTAATTCATTTTACTGTCTACTACCTTCACCTTAATTAATAGTTATTCAACACCTCAGTTCCAACTTTAACTCACTGTATTTATAAATATTTCTTAAACAGTAGAAAACTTTTTCCCTGTTTCCACGGCCTGATATTAACACGTATGGAGCGGTGGAATGCTGGAATGGTGGAACGGTGGATAGGCGGAACAGCGGAACGGCGGAAAATCAACCAAAATCCTAAAACGCGGAAAGGCGGAGATTCGATCCATAGCCTTAAAGGCGGGTGGTGTTAAAAAAAATTGAAAAGAAAGGTGATATGAAAAAATGAGACATTGATTTAATTTGCTCCCCTTCTTTTTTGAAAATATTGCTGTACTATACCAACAGCATCCAGAATCATCTGGCAGTTCCTAATTTGTTGATTTGTTAATGTGAATATAATCAAATGCAGGTTTGTGTAACTGTCTCGAATTCTCCCAACACCCTCTGGTGTTTACACCAGGCCATGCAAACACCAAAAAAGTCTTCTATTGTCTAATTAATATTACAGATATTGCTGAAGAAGCGAACTTTGTTTTACTCTTCCATTTCCAACAAGGACTGATAGAGTTCTTGTTTAGTACAGTAAAAACTCATGTGTAAGAACCTACATATTTTTGAAGTCTGTCAGAAAGGTTCTTGTATTTTGGGGTAGTTTAAGTGGCAAATTACGCTAAGAAAGGCTGCATTCATTATGTATACTGCAGGGGGAAGGGCAGAGGATATTTTTAAAAGGGGCAAAAATTTTTCATATCCCTCGCACATCATACAGAATTTTTTGACATCCTCCCCTCATGACCAAAAGAAAAAATGAAAAAAAAATGGTTAATTGTGATGATAATGATGGTGATGATGATGATGATAAAGAGACAATCTGTGACATTATTAATTAAAGCAGGAGAAAAGTAAAGGTGATAATGATAATGTAGATAAAACTGGTTACTGCACAAAAGTAAAGGACATTAGAAAATCAGGAACTTCACTTGTGTAGTGGTTCATCAATAACATTACAATACTTAATCTTTCAATGGCATCTCCCCCTTCCTGCCTTCAGAAATTTTTACCATCCTTCCTTTTCCCTTCATAAAATTTTAAGATCCCCCCCAAAAATCCCTCCTTGGTAAATATAATAAATACAGCCTAGGATACTGATAATTATTCATTCTCATCCCCAGAGCCTGTCATTTCTTTTGGTCACGTGGTCTTGAAATGAGGGGCTCTGGAAGAAGCTGTTAAAAAAATTTCTCACATCGGGTTGCGCATGTATACAAGTTATAAATATCACTGCGCATGTTCCTAACAGATTTTTGACACTTACGGGGTCCACTGGGGGAGATATTTTACTTCCTGAGCTCTCCCCGGAGAGTTGCTACTTTAGGATGTTTTGAAAATTATATACAGCTGACACTGATCAGCTTAGTTTGCTCAACTTGGATTCCATTATAATTTAGAGTTACAATTTTACAACTTCAACTAGGGCCACCTAAGGACTTTCAACCAATCAGAAGCTGCTCTTTTAAGAAAGAATTGGGTATGCAGACCTTATCGGGAAGTGTCCTATTTTCGATTGGTTAGTTTCAATCCTAAATGTTTTCGCCATCTAGAATGGTGTGTCGTATACACTTACCCATCTTTCTGGTGTGGCTGCCTTCTCTAAAATATACATATATGACATATATATATAAAGAGTAGACACACTGAATTCTGCAAAGCTGATCGTACTGCGCGAAATTTACTTTGCAAGACATCAAAACAACACCGAAGGAACCAAAAACAGAGCGGGGTCGTAGCAGTAGACAGCTGTTTCGCCCTTTTTGGGGCTCATCAGTACGGCGCAACGAACAGAGAGGCTCTGCCGTAAAATTCCTGCACACTCTGTTATAAAGCCCTGACATGAACTCAGAGGGCAACCAACCTTAGAAACATGGGCAAAACGATGCAAAAATGAACAGCAGTTTAAATGTCAATTTATTATATATATAACTATAAATAGTTTTTAGAGCAGCTCCAAATTAACCAAACAGGCATCAAAAACCATTTGGCACACTTCTGACATACAGTCGAACCTCCACTGATGGCCACCTCTCTACAATGGCCACATTTTTTTTCCCAGTGGACAAAAAATCCATCCATTGACTCTGTTTAAAACCTCTCTTCAACGGCCACTTTCTTCTGTCCCCAAGGTGGCCGCTGTAGAGAGGGTCATCTGTATTTGGAAAAATTTAGTTGTTGGGTGCCCCTGAATATTGTACACTTCTTTGTTTTCTTATTTTATCTGCTGGTGTCTTTGTGTCAGAGTGATTGTGGAAAGACTACTGATTAAGAGTTCAATGTTATTTCTAAATCAAGCACCTTATCAGTAAATCACTTACTCAAAAGGCTTTTTTTACCCACCTCTTCAATTATCTTTGCTTAGTAGATTTGACTGTTGTTGCCACCCAACAAAGTTTTTGTCATCTTTTTGATATAATTTCCACTAAATACTTTTGCTAACTGTAATTGGTTTCATATGATACAGAACCAATCAAAATCCAAGATTTTCTGAAGGAGGAGTCATGCATTTGCATTTAAAGGAGCTGCTTCAGTATTAAAGTTTGATTAAATGCTTGGGAGACATATTTGTTTGGCAGGAAGCTCTGTCATTTTCTCAAGTTCCATAGCGAATAAGGACTCGGAATAAATTGGCATTATAAACAAAATGAATTAGTCACCTGTGACACAGCCTTTTAAATGATTTCAGTTCTACGACGTTGAAATAAAATTGCATCACTCTTGAGATTTCGATTGGTTGCATGACATGGAGCCCATCAAAAATCTCAAAAAACTGTGAAGAGCGTCCGGTGATGTCCTAACCTTGGTCGTGTGGCACATGTGGAGCAGTTTGCATTGTAAGAGATAACAGGGAAATATGCATGATGATGATGATATTAGTAGTAAATTGCTGTAATGGTTTTTTTGCTTTCACTTGCAGACGAGGTGGTGAGGTGACGCACATAAAAATTCAAAACACAGGAGATTTTTATGACCTGTATGGGGGAGAGAAATTTGCTACTCTGTCAGAGCTGATACTGTTTTATACTGATAATCCTGAGAAATTGAGGGAAAAGAATGGTCAAGTTATTGAGCTGAAATACGCATTGAATTCTACGGATCCCACCTCTGAAAGGTTAGTAGCAGGTTTGTTTTTCGGTTATGTTTTTGCTGAACAGCACTTACTGTCAGTTGTTACTGTCGGCATACACTTACCTGTTTAAACTCATTAAACAGAAACTATTTTGTCAGTCTTGATTTTTATTTTAATAAGGATGTAACTTAAAGTTATATTGCACCTGTATAACTATTCCTACAAGCTATACTAAATAACGCATAGGACTCAGTCCATAAATGAAATGAATACGTAGGAGGCAACGAACGGTTACGTTAGAACGGAGAATTGAAATCCGGAGGCCCCAAGCTCAAGTACCGCCCGGGGCCGGGTTGTTCAAAGCTGGGTTAAGATAACCCAGGGTTAGTGCGAAATTTGAATTCAGATATGAAAGCTTTAAAAGTAAATTAAGTTTAATCCTTTTGTCAACAAGTTGATGATTGGATGCTCTTAAAAATAACAGAGAAAATGATCCGAGAAAATGCTTTGAACAAAAGAAAAAAACTCAGGTTAAATTTAACCTTGGGTTAAGTACTAATAGGCCTTCGAACAACTGGGCTCTGACCGCTAGCTGATCATGAATTAGTTCTCGGTAGTCCACAGGCAGCCCAAGCTCGGTGCATAAATTACCGCGAGTTTTGATACTGGTTTGCATATTACGGACGACTGAAATTTGATATAGTCATTAATATAGTTGTTATAACGTAGAAATAATGGCATAAATATGGAAATAAATTTTACTTACGTAAACTTGGCCCTGTTGTTGCTTTTTCTGTATAAGGTGGGCTATATTCATCGCCATTTTCTACGGTTTTGTGGCTAGCTGTTCGTTTGGTGTTGTTTTCTTACATAAAGCGAAGCAAGGTTACTGTGTGCAACCTAAACTCACAAATCTCTCCCGCATCAAAGCACAGCGCAACGATTCAGCAGATTAACACCACGAGTTGTACATAAAACCTGTTATTTGTTCATGCTGTGTGCAAGGTAGTGGTTGTACCCTGGGGGGGGGTGATGGGGATACTCAACAAATGTTTATACGGGGAGGCTCCGCCACAAGGTCTTTACCCTTTTATATACCATTTTTTAAAGAAAAAGGTGCCCCTTTCGTATAGCTTCTGTTGACAAATGGCACCCCTTTCACATACCCTGTTTAGAACTTTGTGTTCATTTTAACTGCTGTAAATGAACAGTCATTTAAATAGAAATCAGTCACAACATTAGAACGTTTTCTCGACTTTATAAAGCCATAAAATTCATCTGTTAGCTCTTTTGGGCTCTTTTACAAACCCAAATGACAGATTTCCTACCCTTTTATATACTTCAACTAGTAAAATCCCTAACCTTTCATATACCTGAAGCCTGAAAAAGATACCCCTTTCGGTCGAAGCCTCCCCGTATAGGCCATCATAGGAAGTACCCCCCCGGAGGTTGTACGTTTTTAACTTATCTTTATATTTTGCTGGCTAGATGGTTTCATGGAAACATGCCCGGTAAAGAGGCAGAGGTAATGATGCAGGACAAGGGCGAGGATGGATCTTTCCTGGTTAGAGAAAGCCAGAGCAAACCTGGAGACTATGTTCTTACAGTCAGGTGAGCTTTGTAATGATTTTACCCTTGTCCGTCTGCTGAATAGATGGTTTTCATGCAATCTCGGGAGACACAAATAACAATGGTGAAATGAACAAATACTGGTGGACAAACAAAGGTAGCTAATGAGCGATCTTTTGTTTACCGTCCACCACCATGGCGGCGATGACAACGTGAAAACCACCTATAGATGGATGGATGGAGGGAGGGAGAAACGGACCGATTCTTGAGTGGACTAACGCTTCGAGTACTTTCGATAAGGACGGCAAGATAGTTAACGGTTTGTAGTGAGATTTAGTCAAACAGCAGTCCGTCTTGAAAACTGGTGGAACTTCTCCGAGTTTCCATTGTTGATGTATGCTAGAATTATCTGGGATATTGTTGAAAAGTTCGCTGAAAGGGTGCCATAACATTTCGGCAGATTCTTTTATTGCTCTTAGTGGAACACATTTACAGCCCGTTGCCTTGTTTGTTTTGATCTTCATCATAGCGTCTTTTACTTTGATGTGTTATAAAGCACATGAAGTTCCCGAGTATATGTACAATGTAAAACAGATTAAATACCTTCTGTTGCAATTAGTTG